AGGTGTTTCTTCATTTTAAATAATATTAAATAATCAAAAAAAAAAAGTCATGTGGTTATCAGGTATATGCAGTTATCAGAGATGCTTTTTATACTGTAACATTATAAAAGGTCAACATATGGTCAGGGGAGAAAGTAGTGTGAAAGAAATCACAGCGAATGTTCAAGGCTGTGATGCAAACCAAGAATGAGTTACCTTGCTGAGTTGCTCGTTACAGATCTCACTCCCTTTTCCTGCTAGGCTTCAGACTATTATCTTGACTATTACTCCAAACTGGTACAGTGATTGCTTTCCCATATATACTGTGTGCAAATGAAACAGACCTTTTTTTGGCAACCCTGTGATAGTAGAATCACAGAATCATTCAGGTTGGAAAAGACCTCTAAGATCACCTTGTCCAACCTTTAACTTAGTACTGACAAGTCCACCACTAAGCCATGCTACTAAGTTCTACATCTACATGTTCCTTGAAGACCTCCAGGGATGGTGACTCTTATTCCAATGCTGCACAATTCTTTCAGTAAAGAAATTTATCCTAATATCCAACCTAGGTGACAGTGATATACCATCACTACCTAAAGTATGGAGATGAGTATTCCCCATATTTTTTAAGTGCTGCAGGGAATCCTCTTCTACCATTTTCTCCGTTTTTTTTTTTTTTTAAAGTGGCGTATGTGGAAGTTAAGCATTCCTCTTTGTCCAAGATAACTTTGGATAAGGCACAGAATGAAACAGAATTGTGGCAGAAGCCTTTTGGAGCAAAGCTTAAGGAAGAAATAAAACCTATTTCTAGGCACGTGCAGGAAGGAAAAGACTTCGTCATTTTTCAGGCTTCTGCTGGAATTTGGAAATGTAGCAAATTAGGATGATGTTGAATTTCATGGTGAACATTCACCTGAGTATTATAGTTCTCTGTATCTTGAACTTTTAGTCTTCAAAGTGTTTTGTTTGTTTGTTTTTTTAAACTGATGTGATATCAGCCTTTTGTTTCTTGAAGTACTACTCTAAAACTTTGTTATTACTGTTCACAGAAATGTCATGGTACTGAAATTGCACTGATTGACACTTCTTAATTTCTAATTGTTAGATCAGAACATTTTAGCTTCTACTATAGCAGTCAATTGCTGTAGTGTTCTATGTGGGATTTAGATAAACTTAACACAGTTCTTTTTTTTTTTTTTCCTTCTCAGTTTTAATCGTTTGGATTTGCCACCCTATAAAAGCTATGAACAACTGAAAGAGAAGCTGCTCTTCGCCATTGAAGAAACAGAGGGATTTGGTCAAGAGTAGAAGTGGCTTCTAGTCTAAAAGGAGATCTTACATATTAAAAGGCCCAGCCAACTAAAATTGCACACTTAATTGTATATAAGCTTTTTGTTCTGTACAGTGATCTTTCTGGAACTCTAAAAGTATAATTGTTCTCCGTTCTTCCACAAAGATATGCAAAACAGTTCAGCCTTTTCTACTTTTATTTATTGCCCTTCCAAAAGACCAGAAAAATCCCTCATAAATTTTGAAAGCAGACAAGAGACTTATTTAAAATATATATTAAAAATATAAATATATATACTAATAAGCTCTAGTTTTATAGAGCTTTAAGTGTATGAAAAGTTGCAGCCATTTAAAAGGGCCTGGATTTGCTTTATCTTGGCTTTATTATTTAGAAAAAATGTTTAAACTGCTCTGTGTTCTCTCTTAAGAAACATCTCCAAGTTTGTTTTATTGCATGGCTGTTCTAAAAGGTGTTAAAGGCTTAGGCCAAACGTATCCTAAATATGTAGAAAGATGCTGCTGGTATTTGAGATGACAGAATACGATGTTCTGTCAGTTTAATTTTTTTAAATACGTAAATAGCTGATATATCCCTCTCTACTACACTGATGTAGCCAAGGTCATGAATAAAGCCTTTATTACTTGCACAAGAGTCATGTACAATAAGTTGAATGTGATTTAATGTTGAAATTAATTGGTGCCACTGTTCTGACTTATTGTAGGAGCTGAACAGAATATTTTAATTCATTTGAGCAGCATTGAAATTTGTTTACATATTACCTTGGGTTATTACCACGAGGATGTTAGGTAATCTTCAAAGAAAAAGTTAATAATAAAAGAGAAACTATTACACATTCTCTCCTTGGTCTGGTGTCTTACAGGTGTGTGTTTTTTTTTTTTTTTTTTTTTTTTAACTTTTCAATCTGTATCCTTTTCACAACTTCAGAGTATATTAATGTAAACTGAGATGTAAGGGTCTACGAAAGGTAATGTGAACTTTGCTGCTTTCTATGCTCATGTTCAGTTTCAGTTATTGGATCTAGTAAACCCAAATAAAATAAAGTTATATAAGCTTTGCACAGATAAAAGTATTTGAAAGTATTAAATACTCTTATTCCTCTTAAGTTCCTGTAGAAATTCAGATGTACCTGAATTACGTATGTCTAAAACCTGTCATTCTTTTATGTAGACAAAGTTTCTCCTAAGTACACAGTAATAAAAACTGATTTTTTTTTGGTGTTGAGGGCATTTGCTGAACTGCAAAGATATTTAAAAAAAGTTACCACACTTTATTCATGTGAATGATATTAAATGCTACTTTTTAGCAAACTGTGCTTCCTTACTATAGAGTAAAAATGTTTAAAATTACCATTTGTATTATGCTTTAATATTAACTGTAAATTCCATTACATTTAACTTATACAGAATTTTGTACACACATGAAAATGATTTCTTAGACTATGATTAAAAACATTTCTGTAACATATCATATTGCACTGTTAAAAGTGTACATGCAGGAAAAAAAAAAAAAAGCTATATCTGTTTATCTGTTCTTATATCTTTCCAATACAGCAACTGAATTCTGCCAAAATTTTATTTTTCTACATATCAGATTCTCCTGAGGCTTTATATCCAAATGCACAGTTTGCTGTGTAGCTGTTAACCTGTACGGAACCTTGATAGCAGCAGGTACTGCAAGTGGCCCAACAGACTGCTAGCTTGCGTTAACTTCCCATAAGAGGTTCAACAACTGCCATTTGAAAGTTTTTCATACTACACCAAATATCTTCTGCAAAGCCATTTTCATAAATATATCATTAATTTCAAGTGTAAATCCACCTAAATTATGGTTTATGCTGGTTAGAATGGAGGAAGCTTTAAAAAAAGAAAAAAAAGTCAAAGGCAGGGCAACAGAAGAGTGTGGCTTGCCTAAAAGACAGTTAAGAGGGCTAAATGTCGTACAGTTGAACTTTATGAATTTGCACTAATGAATGACTTGGTAACCCACTACCAACTGCTGAACTTTGTGAATCTGTGAGTAAGCAAATAATAATAATAAAAAAGACAGCACATCACAAGAATGTAGTTGCTTTATTGTTTTGGTAACTTCAGCTGTCTCGTGACTGTAAATTTTTCCTGTGGGTAACAGTGAGCAAGGAAAAAATAAAACCCTGTGTCCTTCTCTACACGACCTACTAGTTTGGTTCAAAGACTCACTACAAACATGGTTCAAGAGGCAAAAGAACATGAAGAACAATCTATGTACTCATGCATGTGTATGCAATTAACTTGGATATCCAGAGCTGAGTGTTCCAGTAATACTGCATTGCTACTTCTTTCCCATCTGTGTTGCCCGTAGTTATCTGTGCTTAGGGCAGAGATAAAGGGATGGTTGAAGAGCAGGCAAGCAGCAAAGGCTTTAGGTATGCAAATAATTTCAGTGTCCAAGAATCTCTCTAAAGCACTGTGCATCATCCATCCCCAGATTTTGAAATACCAGTTACTTCATGTTGATGCTCTACTAATAGAAAAGTAGGAATTATTTTTCTATAGTGGAGAAAATCATCCTCTAAGTAGTTTCATCCCCTGAAACTAGAATTAGAATATTAAATTAGTCAGTTATAAAAAGCCACAACTGAGAGAGTCATTAGCTTGGCTTGTTAGTTTAAGCAATTTATGCCCTTCTTGTTCCTCCTATAGATCCTTTTCTTATTAAAACACTAGGTATTTATAGTTAATTTGTTCTAGATTGTTAGACTTTCCACAGGCAATATCCTGCAGTATTGAGTTGTGTGTTTTTTCATTTATATGGTCCTAACCTATGATCCCAGGTTAATTTCTTCTTCTGGATAAAGTTCATGGTAAAATTATAGCATGAACAAGAAGTTTATCTTTCTCTCTACAAATAAACAACTCCTTAATGGTCTTCAAAACTGTAGTTCCCAGCCCTTCTGTATTGGGAAGATGCATTCCTCTTGTTGTCAGAGTCTGGGGCATGTTGCGCTTATGTCCAGCAAGTGTTGGCCGCTGAATTTTCAGAATTCACTCTCTCTCAAAATGCAACACATATTCATATTTAATAGGAGTTTCTTCCCTGCAAATGCCTACAGTCAATCATAAATGGATTTTTAAGTTTTCCCTGCTTCACAAAACCACAGCACTTCTTGCAAAGTCAAATATCAGCATTTCAGTGTATTGGCATTGAAGTTGCTTGTGTAGAAGAATCTGTAATGAACCTTAATCAGAAAACTGTATCCGTATCTAATAATGTTAGCATATGATGTTATTGATGTTATTACTCTTGAAGGCTATTTCACCATACAGAATGCTCTAGAAAAAAATATCAGTGGCCTTAAAATTGTGTCATGGTCCTGTATCTCCTTTCCTTACAAGTTATGCCAGTCCCTAACTTGCAGCTGAAGTGTAAAAACTTGCTCCCCCCCATATACCCTGCTTTTGACCTTGAAGACCTTTATTCACATATTTATTCTCACATAAGTGAACAATCACGTAATAAAACAATTTCCCTGTTGACAATTTAATTGAAACAATCGAAGTAAACAGTAAGTTTAGGCTATATATTTTATTAACAGCTTCAAATGAGTAATAGTAGTATTTAAGGTCTTTTCCCTATGCCGTTCACACCTGAGGTACTGAATTCCCAGTATCTTGTTATATAGAATTAAGCAACTCCAAAGCTTCTTTCTGTACCTGAAATATATAAATATAACAATACAGTGTAGTTACAGGCTTTTCTAGCAGAATTTATCATGCAAGCATCTGAATGTTTCACCACAGTTCTATAGATTTGTTACTGTCCTAAGACTAGTAAGTTTCCTTCCCCTATTGAAGATACTCTGCATTTTTAACATGAATGGTAATAAAACGTCTTCACCCAGTCCCTTCAGTGTAATTAACATATGTGTTAATTATAACAGTAAGTTTATTTGGGTTGAATACAGCAGATGAGCTCTTGATTTGCTACAGTGTTAGCATGTACCGAGTTATCCTATTCCTGGCCATAACCAACCAACCAACCTGGAGTTTTCAAACTCTGAATGGCAGCTAAAGAAGTGTGAAAAGTATCTTAATCTAGGGACTCTGGGTAAAGTCTAATAAATTTTGAAGTTGATTGCAAACATCAGTGTTAAATAAAGAATAAAAAACCTCTGGCCCTCACAGAGCAAGCAATTCAGGCAATGCAAGCCAGATATTATGGAGAGTCAGAGATGAGAAAAGCACAGAATATTGACTTATGCTGACCTCTGTCATACACAGAAACAAGAATGCCAAGTTCTTTGCCCAGGCCACTTTTCTTCTTGCTGGACTACACTGTCTAGTTCCCACGTTTGTGACACCTGTGATTTTTGCATTTTACACAACGACCCACAGAATGCAGAGAATACAACCTTAATTTAGCAGCTGTGCAGCGTTTTAGGAGATAGATCAGGAAACAGATCTTTGCACCAGATGAGCAGATGAGTAGTTTAACAAGTTGGCTATGGCACAGAAACCACTACTGGCTCTTTTTGTCTGGCTTCTGAAGGCAGGAAAGCTTTTGTCATCATTGGTTTCACATCTGCATCCAGACACCAATTTGTTTGGCAATTGCTAAGTATGGAACAGTTTCATTACAGACCTGAGACCACTACACCTTTAGGCTATTGAGCTCCTATAAAAACTGCAGAAAAATGGAAGAACCTTTATTCATTTCTACTGAAAGATATTGCTGAAGGAACTCACTCCTTCTGGGAGAAACAGTTTGAACCTCACTGGAGAATCCACAGAGGAGGAAAAGCTTGAGTAGTGTTTCTTCTGAGGTGTGAAATGCAAAATCCTTCCCAAGTATTTCTTACAGCTAGGACATTCAGAACATGACAGCACATTTACACGTTTTCTGTAACAGTTAAAGCATGATCTCACACTGCAGCTTTATGCAAAACAACTTTTAGGTCAATCAACCATAAGAAAAATTAGTCCTGATGCTAACAGAATTACTTGCTCACCAAAGACATCTGCAGTTTCTGTGGTTTACATTGAATACAGCACTCGGTCTGCACAAGGCTAATGAACTACCCTCCTGGAAGCACACTATATATATAAGTAGGCAGCCAATACCTACCTGTCCAAACTAGGATCCTGAGCAGTTCAAAAGGGTAATTAAGTGTCTATTTATTGCCTGCTAGCACTGGAGATTTGCTGTCAGAGACATTGCTTCCATTTGACTCAATTAATGCACTCTGAATCTTTCCCTGTACTGTCAAGCTTTACAGATCTAGCAAGTTTTTGATGCACCCATGCTTTTCGTCTTCCTCCTGCTCATGATTCCATTAAGGGGGTATTTTTTAGCTCTTCCAAAATGTGGTTTCCAACTGTCCAGTTTTAGGCCTATGAAAAGTGACTCTGTGCTCACACAGACTGAGTTTAGCTCAGGTGCCTGCCTTAACCTGAGCAACACAGTTAAGAATGGGTGGCTATTAGCACCATAAAAACATTTTGAAGAAGAACGAACGGTTCTTTATTAACAGAACATTCCGACCACTGTATCCAGAGGCAGTCACCAAGATACTAGATTTTTTTGGTGTCTGGGTGTGATCCTGGAATATAGAGCAAATTGTAGTTAGGCATCTGAGGTAACCATTCCATTGCCGTGATGCCGTGACTGACACATTGGTTACTGTGTGTGGTTGCATTATTCAATCCTTAGCTTCTTACCTGTTTGTCCTCTTCGGTATGTGCAGGATAATCCTTTGCTTTGCTTAACCACAGAAGAGCCATCTTTTTATTGTTTAACTTCAAATATGCCTTCCCCAAAAAGAGCAAATTTTTGCTGTAGAAATTTGGGTCAGCTGCATAGAGACAGAAGAAAAGCTTTGAATATAACAAGCAGCATACTGTCAAAGCCATGATATAATGCCATTCCTTTAAATACTTATTTCAGAAAAGATTAATAGTTTTTGGCTTTAGAACAGATGGAACCCAATGTAAAACAACTCTGCTTTCTAAAATTTGGTCTCCTATAGTAATGTTAGCTAGCAGCTTATTAATTAATACGCTAAATGAAACTGATTCCTCACAATGAGCATACACAAAGTGTATGCATAAGAAACAGCTTCGCTTTGCAATTTGCAAATTTGCAATTTGCTCTTCTGGACCTAGTAGATGCAACAGGCAATGAAACCAGCTTAGAAAGTATAGGCAAGGGAATAAACAGGCACATTTCCTAGCTTTAGACCACATACGTACAGATTGTTTTAGTGTATCTTTTGCTACACAGGAAGAGAACTTAAAACTGTTTGTACCCAAGTTTAACTTTTCCTTTTTTAAGGAGAGACTTAAGAAGATGCTTTTATAAAACATACTTTGCCCATCAACCTTTATTAAAGACCTGTCTTGTGTACTGTTAACACCCATTACAGCACAAGCTTCCTCTGCATTTGGATCTAAGGTCAGGATGCAAAATGCTGACAACCATTTTTTGTGCATTTTGTGCAATAATAAAGCACACTAAGGCAGGCAAATTCCTCTCCCTGAGGAAAAAGTGTAGTTTGGTAAAAATGACAGAGACTGACAGCAGCAATCCTGCCTGCTCCTATCTCTTCTTCTAGCAGGTGGACCCACTCTGTAGAATATATTAACTGCAATAATAAGCTCTAGCTTTGCCTGTGATTAGCATACTACTCTATTAAAAAAGAAAAATGGAATGATTACACATGTACATACTATGTGAATATCCAAGCATAGGCTATAACAATACTTTCAGAAATACTGCAAAACTTGCCAGATTTTTTAGTCACTGTCTATTATTCTGTCCTTACAGTTCAAATTCCAGCAAGCAAAATTCATAGCTGCACAAAATAATACAGAGCTTGGACCACTAACATCAGTCAAAAAAAAAAAAAGTCAAATATCAGTAAATGTATGGAGGTATTTTGGAGGCACATTTTGAGATTAACTCTACCATTCCTGTTCACAGATGCACTACTTGATACACAGGGAAAGATGCACAATAAACTTTTCCATCAAACCTCATTTATACAACTATATAGAAACCTTTCACGGAACACTGTCTTCCCATATCTTTCAGCTTACCAGTTTTGCTTGGGGTTTCCCTGTTGGGGAAATAATAGCTACGTATTTTCTTGTATAAGAGGCCAGTTTTACTGCTATTTGGATAGGTACTCTGATCCAAACAGCTTCCGAAATCAAAAAATGTGCTTTCTCTGTCATCCTATTGAAAATACAGGGGAGTTTTAAACTTTAAGAACGAACTTGAAAGACTGACATAGAAATCTCACTTCTGCTTGCTTCTTTGCCCTGCAATAGTACATTCCAGTTGAATCCATTGGGGAAATGTAAGTTGTTACTAATAGGGTAAAAAATAAAAATAATAAAATTAAAAAAAAAAAAAGTATGAAAAAAGAAAAAAAAAGAAAAAAGATATACTCACAGAATGACTGACGTTAGAAGGGACCTCTGGAGGTCATCTGGTCCAACTCCTTCTCAAATATGGACACCTAGAGCCCTAGACCATTGTCCAGGTGGCTTCTGAAGGTCTCCCAGGATGGAGACTGTACTACCTCACTAGGCAACCTGTGCCATGCTCAGTCACCCACCCGCACAGTAAATAAAGTGTTGCCTGATGTTTAGATTGAAACCTTTGTTCCAGTTTGTGCCCATTCCTTCTTGCCTTGGCACTGGGCACCACTGCAAAAAGCCTGGCTCTGTCTTCATTTCACCCTGCCTTCTGTATTTACAGACATTGATGAGATCGGATCCCCTCTGAACATCCCCAGGCTGTTCGACCCTAGGATCCTCCAGGTCCTTGATCAAGATCTCGGTGGCCCTGTCCTCTGGACTCTCTCCAGTATGCCCATGTCTCTCTTGCACTGCAGTGCCAAAGGCTGAGTACAGAAGGGATCGCATCTCCCTCGACCTGCAGGCTGACAGCACTTTATCAGACACCACCCCAATAAGCAGCCTTCTGAGTGGAGAGGGCACGTCGCTGACTCAAAAGTAGTAATTTTTAGCACTCTTCCCTGACCGGGAATCGAACCCGGGCCGCGGCGGTGAGAGCGCCGAATCCTAACCACTAGACCACCAGGGAGCGCAATAAGGGTGTTTTCCGTGCTGATAACAAGCGTGTGACACACTCTGAGCTTCTCTGAGATGCCTTCTGGCCTAACAGTCCAGTCACCTACCGCAAAAGCTGGTAAGTTTATCATAAGCTATTCAGATAATTCCTGAAGATAGAGGTTTATGCACGACAACCTGCAGTATGTGACAGCATTCTACCTACAAAAAGCTACAAGAATTACCTTCCTCTGCCATGTGGAAGTAACGCAGAGCCTGCAAAAGAGAAGGTTGTCTTCTTTAAAATGGACCATGGTAAACTGGACACAGCAGTCAAGCTAAAGTACTATGCATGCTCAACACAGCTGAAGGACACCTATATCCTCCTAGCCATCATTTTATTTCTGTTAACTTAGCATGTTACAGATTGTTCTCATTCAATGTACAAACAAATTCAGCCTCATTACCACAAACCTACTCATCCAGCTATTTTCCTGCCTCTATTAGTGTTTATTATTCCACTGTAGGTATAGTACCTCCTGTTTGTCCCTAGCAAGTTTGATGGTATGTTTCCAACTTATCAAAACCATTTCTAATTTAATTTCTACCTTCCAGTGTATCCACAGTCCCTCCAAGCCAGTTCTCATGTATAAATTTAATAGACAAGTTTTATCATTCATGTAATTAATACTGACAAATACATCACAGAGGACTGAGTCCTACAGAACACCGGGCAGTATTTTCCTACTTGAAGATAAACCTTGATGAAATACACACACATTTTTCAACTAGTTTCACATACTGCACCTCGGAAATTTCACTTATCTCTTCCTAATGTTACCAGCTGGAGGGAAAATGCTATCAGAGAATTTAAAGTGTGCATGTATCTACAAAGCAGTTTTTGTATTGAAACTGCAGAAGTCTTATCAGTATGGCTCAACTACAGACTCTGGGACAAGGCTGCTTCTTTAGCTGCTTTAAGCGCTCTACACAACTTGATATTGGGATTGGTAAAATTCTGCAGTATTTGAAATCTGAGCTGACACTTTGTATTCTTCCAAAAGTGATTTTCAGCAAAACTTAAAAGCTTGACATTTCATTAAAAAGTTTTCTCTCTTTTTTAAACAGATCTTCAACTGCTTTTTGTGTTAACATTAAGCAACCTTCTACAATTACTTTCTAGTGACTCACTCACCCCTCACAACTTAAAAGAACAAAAGACTTTGGGCCAGGATTGTTGTTCTAATAGAAAACAAAGATTACAATGGCTGCCAGAGGATGAGAAAAAAGGTATTTGTTAGTAAGTAACAAAGTGAGCTGTTACATTTTGCATTTATATTAGTAGAAGTATAGCAACAGCTCTGCAGGGGAAATAATAATCTAGGAAACATTTTCTTCTTGTACCTCTTGATAAGTGGAAGTTGGAGGTGTTGCAAATAGCATTGCAGCTATTTTTCGTTGGTACCATGGCATTTCAGCAAAGGAGTAACACCTGGAGCAAAAGGAAACATTGATTAACAGCCTTCACCTTTCTCCTCCCAACAAACATTCTCAGACCTTGGATATCATAACTGGTTGTTGCCAAGAGTCACAACACCCACAGTCACGCTGCAAGTTCTATAAGCAAGTTCTTACAACTCCACAACACAATTGCAAGGTATTTGCAATTGCTGCAAAGTTTGGCTAAAGAGGTTTTGGTGTGTGTTCTACTGGGAATTTTTATTACATTAGGCTGGAGACAGTTATTAAACATGAAACAGCTTTTCAGCTTGTAGTATTTTAACAATTAATGAGCATTTTATATTGTTCTAAAATATAAACAATACAGCACAACTGAGTAATATCACTGCCTTACCTCAACATTACCTTGTTTTTCCTCAATTATTAATACACAAAAGCAGATGTGCAGCACATTCCTGAAAGACTCTGATCTATAAGAATGAAAATAAGCCTAAGAATCAAACTACTGTGTTCTAAGCTATGCCATTCTACTGTTTTCCTACCTACTGAATAATAAAGGTTATTAGTCACCTATCTCAGAGACAGTGAAAGGATTAAATATTTACGTATTTCAAATACGTAGAACATTCTACATCTAATATTAAACAGCACTATTCACTTTTATTACTCTCACACAGTGATGATAAAAATGCTTTATTCACTGCATAAAACAGAACATGCAGGAGGAGGTGAAAGATTAATGAGTAGAGATATGGAGGTGTTTGGGGGCAAGGAGAGGAACAGGGCATGGAAAACAAACTACGCTAAAAGTTTGCCATCAGACATGCCTTATCAGAATTGCCAATAAGACAGGTTCAGTCCAGTAAATACTAGGAAAAGAGATGAGAATCATACTCAAGAACTAAACAATATGAAATTCCAGTTTCAGATGAAGATGCTCTGGGGCTCAGTAATGAATATATGTAATCATAAAACATCAGGAAATGTTAGTACCCAAAACAATAACAATCCTCAAATTTCTTATCTTTCTGTTTTTCCTTAGGAACAATGTTTAAAGTACCTTTCCAGAACAGGCTTCCTATCACAAAAGTGACACTAAGGCTCATTCAGTTGGGAGTACACACATCTGCCTAAACATCTGGACTATTGCTGGGGTTAGGTCCTGTGGGAATAAGTAACACTGAGATACTGAAAATTTGAAATAAGACTTCTGATATTCAGCAGTCCAGAAAAGGCACAGAAAAAGTAGCTGAGATTTTTTTAGGATTTCTTTACAAATCCTTTGCCTTTATTTTCAATCTCTCAGTCTCGTAGTAGAGATTTCCTGTAAAACATCTAGCAGAGACCAAAGCCTCTATACGTTATATAACCAGAAATGCTATCTGGAATCTCTCAATAACAAGTAAAAGATACTGTGTTCAACCAACTTGCTTCCACAGAAAATGCTGTTAGTATGAAAAGCTGTATTTCCAGTCCTTTGCCTGCATTGTAATGGTAAGTCTTAGTGCAAATTTAACTGAGCAGTAAATTCAATGTCAAAGATTTTGATAATGCACATGCAGCCATAAGCTGCATTTACTTCAACATAACTTTTAAAATACATTATCATAACAGATAATAGAGGAAGTATTTTATGAACAGGTACCACATTTGATTGCTTTTCATGATACACAGACTCTTAAGTTGCAGCCATCAGTGAAATTCAATGTAGGTTCAGTGTTGAATTTTGTCTCCATTCACACTAGTCAGAACAAAATGACTTGTGTGTTATGGAAATAAAGGTCTGGAAAAGAAGTTCGTAATAGTGCAATACAGAGAAACAAAGAAATTCAACGAACAAGTATTTCCTCATCTTTTTGAACTGTGTAAGAATTAACAGCCAGATGCTTTCAAGGCATGACCTCCTCTGCTATTCAATAGGTTTCCATGTTTGAATCAACTAATTCCAGCCACTGAATTATTCCAAGCATTTCTGCAATTCATACAGTCCACTTCTATTCTAGCATTTCTCTTTACCACATGTTAAGTTTTGTTTAAAATGCACCTTACCAAATGCCCATAAGATGAATTGATGTTGCATCTTTTGGATTCAGTTCAATGGCTCTCTAGTGCATGGAAGAAAAAAAAAAAGAAAAAAAACAAAGATGTAAAAGTTTATTCTGTTGCACCCGGCTTAAAATACATTAAACAACTAAGAAACATGTTGACTTGTTGTTCTACTACTAATTAAACCACATTAACTGTGTGTAGAGTTTCACAGACACAGTATTTATTCAGTGCACAACTGAATCTGCTCACCTCCAAAAAATTGAACACACTGACAGATTTCTAAGCGCTCATGGTTAACAGGTCAGTAAGAGTTTCACATGAGACTTGACGTGTTCAGATTCTGATATAATTTCTGGTGATACAAAGTTAGTCAGCAGTCCTTTATCTTCTCCAGTACCTGTCCTTTACTGGTACACAATCCACACTTACAAGGATGGCCACACACCCATTCTCAATAGCACAGCTATACTTTATCTAGTCCTAAGGGACAGCAAAAGCACTTCAGCTATTTCAGGACTCTCTTCTATAGAGACTTAAGTTTACAGCAGGAGCTAATTTGTATCCCTTTTTGCTTTGGAATCCCAGACCATCACAATAACCCCCAAAATCAAATTGTCACCAGGAGATTTGAACAGCAGTACATTTGCAAGTTTTCACCACCAGCCAGTTCATAGCTCTCAAAAAATTTACGTATTGGACACATTACGGCTATCATATGCAAAGAAAAAAACAACCAAATAACTATTTACATTACCTGAAAATGCTCTTTGATAACAAAGGCATTTGCAATTTTAACCTTGATTCCTTCATAATCACCAACGTCACTGATACAAATGGCATACCACTGTAATTCAAAGTAAAAAATAAAACATTTAATAAAGCACTATATTACTAGTAAATTAAAAAAACAAAAACAACAAAAAAAAAACACAAAACAAAACATACAGAACAGCCACCACCCCCACCAAGCAAAAAGTATTTGTTATGAACAGTTGTAACAGCGTCAGAGCAACCTGCTAATCTACACAGATAAGGGAATCAGTGTCCACCTCTTATCTGAGATGCCAACACAATTGACTATACTTTGTTACCTCTCTGCCTGAGAGAAACAGCAAAAAAAAAAAAAGCAGAATGAAGCCAGAGCCTGAAGTCTTTCTAATGAAACTCTATAGAGCTACAACTGCACACAGAGACAGCATGCTGGATGTGTGGCATGAGGAGATCAGCTGTAATCTGTGTGATCTGTCACCTGTTCCCACAGTCCTGCACACATTAAACCAATTTCTGTTTCCTGCGTACAGGAAATTTAGCTGCAAAAGTCTACGATCTTAGAAACAAATCAGTGAGAATTAGAAGCAAAAGAGTGAAAATTAGAGAATCACACATTCTTAACTGAAAAATTAAATTATGCTGAAGTTTGCTGAAACAGCACAATGACATTTGTTCCAGTTTCCACTGGCAGAAATCAAGGAACAAGATTTCAGTTGAGTTATTTTGCTTGGCTCACCTTGTGCGCTGCAAAATTTGATTCATTTTTTTCAAGCGCCTTTTTTGCATACTCGAGGGCTTCGTACACCAGTTGTCTTTTCTCCTCTGCGGAAGTACTACTTAGTTGAGCTAAATCTCGTGATGCTCGTGCCAGCCGCCACAGTAACTCTGCATCCTCACTAGTTATGAACAGAAACACAAATGTTTTAAAGTAACAATGGCAACAAAGCTAGTAAAGGTCTCTGATCAGTCTGTCAATATGCATCTCAAGGGGGTGATAATATCATCTGGCGTTCTACGCTATATACAACTTCAGGGTAACAAACAACAAGTGAAAACCTGCCATTTTACACTGTCTGATGATACCTGTCTGAAATGCATTTCAGAGCTTTTTGCTGTCTGGTCATAAAACACTCCACTCCCATTTAAACAACCAGAAACCAAAAATATTAGAAAACATACCTGAGTCACTGCTAGACTCAGAATACCCATCAAAGCCAGTTTTCTTTTCTGGAGTCAAACTGAGTCATGCTCACAGTACAGCACAGTCCTGCTGTCATTAATGAAGTAACACAGAACTAGCAGACTAATTTTTCAGCCACATCACAAGAATGTTAAGTACAGCTACAGGGGATCATTACTTCTCACAGAGTAAGCAGCACTGTTACACACTTAGGAGCAAGGTTACAGTTTGCTTATGGCACCATGTCCCTTGCAGGCCAGGACCTTCCTTTAACTTCCCAGCCTTTGTACTTGTGCCTCTGTCAAGAACCAAAAAGCAAAAACAAAAAAAGAAAGCAAACCATCCGAAAACAACTGAATAGTTAACTTGCCTCCAGAAGTGTTCTAGGCCCTGTTCTAGTGCCTTGTTTCCAAAGGAAAGGACTCTTAATTTATCTATGCATTTTCTGCTTTTTCCTTAAGCAGCCTGTTTGTTTCAACTCACTTATCTGAAATGTTTTGTGTAGCTAAGACATAACTACATGAGTAATAAACTTTTTCTGTTCGGACTCAAATCCTAAATAAATGAAAACAGAAAGAAAGAACAGCTGGTAAGCAATGTAAAAAAATATCAAAAATTGTCAATGCCTAAATTCTAGATACTGTGGTCATTACAGTAATGTGTAGACATGCTGTGACTTTTCCAATGCATATGTATATTTTTAAGAATTATTAAAGTAATAAACCAAATAAACCTAAAACCTCCCTGCAGGAATGAAAACCTTAAATGTTAACCCTCTGCTTCTACAGCTGCACTCTGCTAAAAATCAGTACCTTTGTCATTCATTTTTCCATGGGGAAGAAAAGAGATGAAAGTAAGGTTCTCCAGCATACCATAACAAGAATATTAGTTGAAAACTGGTATAAAAGAACACATTAAAAAACAAAATAAAACAAAACACCAACAAACTAATATGTAGATATTCAATTCAGTCAAGTACCTATTTTTATGCTGAACCAGCAACCGATACAGCTTTTCAGTTTCTCCACTCCCGTACAGGTAGTCTGCTTGCTCTATAACTTCTGCCACTAAAGAAAAGAATGAGAGTTGTGGAAACAGAAAAACAAATTGCATGTAATTAGGATATTAGGGTATAAACAAAACGTTTCAGAGCAAGTCAGTCTAACTGAAACACAAAGAACAAGTTACTCAATTTTTAGGCCATTGTTCTAAACAACTTTCATGCACGGCAGACTCAGATTAAGCTACTCATAATGAACAAGTAGGAAGAGATACAGTGCTGAATACGTGCCTCTCTCATTGAACTGGGGAGTGGACTTCAGCAACAAAGCATCCTGTGGATGCTTAATGCATTTAACATTCAAAAATGTCTTTCTTAAAGCATCAGACACCAGAAGCAATTTGTTTTCTTTGCAAAAATATCCAGAAAAGGATAATGAAGAACCCTCACTAGTACATGTATGGAATTTAAATGTAATAATCTTAAAAAAAAAAAAAAAAAGAATTTTGTTAAATTATTCTTGGTTCTTAATACATTTCCATAGTTTTGCCAAAGACAACCACAGATTAAGTATGGTTCATTACCTTACCAAGCCAAAATGAAACATCGATCAAAGATTTTTCTGACTGAAGCTCTTTAAATTTGAAAAATCAATGTTGACTTTTTATCAATTTATAAGCTAAGTATTCAATGTACTTAGAGCATTTAAATTCTTCTAGAGAATACTTTAAAACTCTGATGACAGAAGAAGGAATATGATTTCCACAACTGGATGAATATAAGGTAGTAATATAATATATATGTATATAGTACACACAACAGTATTCCACATTCGTACCAAACAATTCACAATACAGGATTCTAGCATGAGAATAGACAGAATTAGGAGAAAAAAAAAAAAGCAAATTGAAGCAGGTAGATCATTCTATTGAAATATACAAAGGTGTAAGAGCAAAACTCTGAGTTTATTCTTCTACCAACATTAAAACATGAAAAAATGACACTAAGTAAAACGTCCCACCGAATTTTATTTAGAATTTGCAGCTACACGATTATCTCTTTAGTGCTACTCCTCGGTCTGTGATGAAACTTTTATGTGAAAACATAAGCTCAATCCACGCTTCATAAAAATTACATTTATAAACTTTATTTTTCAAGTTATCTACTGAACATGGTAGTCATATTTCACGACAACATGGTTTTATTTATAAAAGAAAAAAACAGTGAAGACTGCTAAATACAAGTCTTATGTTCAGCTTTAAAAGCTCCTAGAATATAAATCACTGAAGATTAGAGCACTCTGGATAACGTTTTAACCTTGTCATCTCTAAATGCCTTCTATCAACAATTTCAAAGCTACAATAATGGTCTACATGGACTTTGGATTTAAGTGCCTAAGATAAGCCTCGTAGTACATATGCAGCATTAAAGTAACCTCAGCGAATTATGTTTGCTTCCTGAGACATCCTGAACAGCATTGTCAGTATGGTCCTGTCTAATAACTGAATGCTCAGAATTCAACATTCTGAACAAATTACTAGCTAGGTGTTTTATGTAAATTATAAGATTTTTATTTCTTTTTAGTGTAGCAAAAACATGGGGTATTTCTCATTTTTGTTTGAAACACAATCTCAGTGCTACTTGACTACATTAAATGAGAACTCCACGGTGTTCATATAGAAAATCTCAATTAACCAGAATTCCAGAAATTGATCAGAGCTTGGTCTGCCTTCCCAAGTGAATCTTAACCTTTCTCAGCGAGTTACTTAAAGCCTGGGTGACAAATTAGGTGTCACACACCTTGTGCATTGATCTTATCCTGTCTACGTCACCAGATGAGATTTGGTTTCAGTGACAATAAATTGCTAATTAAACTGTTACCATGCTTTAAAGCCCTGAACTAATTCAAAACCCTATCAGTGAAATGTCCTGCACACAGCCTGAGTGGAGAACCTCAACGACATTACACCGTTTTCCTATATAATCCTGGCAGTAAAAACCTTATGCTTCACATTAGAATGACCCATTTGAGAACATTACCTTTGAAGCTTGCATGAACCTCAGCAAAGCCAGAAACCAGCTTGGAAGCTTCATAAACCAAGAAGGACCCCGCTGAGAGCGCAACCCCCCTTTTAGGGCTTTTTCTAAGCACCTGCACGGGACCATAAAACGTGCGTTAATCAACGTCGTTACTCAGAATTACTATTTTTGCTCATCTCTGGCACAACTGTATTTCATATTCACAGCCCACACCCTCCCCGCCAGCTGGGGATGTCCCGGGGAGGACGAGGACAGGCAGGACCCGCTGCCCCCCAGCTACCTGGCTCCGGCGGAGCCCTCCCCGGCCCCGCGGGCCGCCTGTGGCGACCCCCGCCCGCCCTAGCAGCGAGCGGGCGGAGGGGCGGCCGAGGGGCCGCAGCAGCAGCGCCGCCATGACCGCGGCCGCCGCCATTTCGCACCTCCGCCGGAGGGGGCGGCGCTGGCGGCGGGGCCGGCCGGGGAGAGACGAGGCCGAGGCCGGCCCGTTCCTGTTCTGTTCCGCCGGGGGGAGCCGCGCATGCTCTCCCTCGGTACCCTCAGGGCGGAGCGGGGCCGCTCGGTGCGGGCGTGGCGGAGCCGCCTCGGGGTGAGGGAGCCGCCGTGCGCTGCCTGCAGGTGAGGGGCTGGAGGCGGGGAGGGGGTCGCGGCTGCTCCGCTAGGGAATGGGCTCGGGCGCCGCGCTCCCGCCCGGGTGGGGCCCCTCCGGGCAGGGCTCTGCTCCCCGGGCACAGGCGGCGGCTGAGGTAACGGAGGGCTGTTGTGAAACGGCCCCGTGGGTGGCTGCTGCTGTGCTCCTGCCGCGGGAGAGCGGCCCCGGAGCAGCCTCCTGCGAGCGCTGAGCCGCCTGCCCCGGGGAGCGGAGCCCCGTGGGTGCCGCCCGCCTGAGCTTGTGAGGGCTGGGTGCCGGTGTGGGGTGCTCAGAAACTCGCCTTGGCCCCTGGGAGAGGAGACTGGCAGGAGTTGTTGGCTTTCCTTGAAGTAAATGGCTACAAACAAGGCGTCCGGTTCCCGCAGTTATTGTTGTTAAAGTGTTTGGGGCTTATTTTTCCGCCCTGCTGCTACGTGACGTGTGAGGCTCGCCTTAGTTGGCGTGCTGCTGGTCGGTTTACTTCTACATTAGGACACAACTAAACTATGAAAGTCTCTGCTTCTGCCGCTACCGTCACATAGTCAAAGGGCATTAAGAGTCCTCAAGCTAACATACACCCGCTTGCCTCCAAAACTTCATGTTGCATTCATTTTCTTTGGAATTGTATGTCTCCAAAAGTTCAAGATATTTCAGTGGTGTTACAACAAAGCGTGTTTAATGCAAGTGATTGGAGTCAGACTTACTCCCAGGTGGCTTTTTTTTTCTTTTTTTTTTTTTCAGTTGAGGCTTTAAATTGTTAACTTAAATCACACATACAGATTTTATTTGCTCAGTCTACGTAGTCACATAAATGATTTCTTTTTTCAGAGTAGGCAGAACTCCATACAAGTATTATTCATGGGAAGAATAAAAAGTAAGGTAAAAAGATGTGTAAAGGAGCACGAAGAACCACACAAAAGTCTTTATTTACCTGCCTTAATGTTAGGGAGAATGCTGTTTTTCCAGTGTGCACGTTTGTGTTAAATATATAAGAATTAAACAGTACAAATCAATTACGTGTGACTGTTAGACTATTTTTAATTGAAGCTGTTAAAGGCAAATGCCCTTAAGGCTAGAGGTAAGCCATGGTAGCCATTTAGTACAGACAACACAAAAACACGTCTTTTAAGTGTAAATGTGGAATAACTTAGCTAATGCTAAAATCTCATCTTCACAGCTGAGTTAGCTTAATATTGTTACCTGGGGTGGAGTTTTTTCTCGGTTCTGCTCTAGAGTAAGGTAAATGCTGTCATTACCACAGTTTCCTTTAAGAAACACCCATTATTTAAAGAAAAGTTACATGTTTAGATATATTTTTTTTACTTTCCTTATTAATTTTGTTAATTTTTTAGACAGCCAGGATGACTTCCAATGTAAGTCTTCCAATATAAGTTATACATGATCAAGTTAGTATCAGTGAGCATTAGTTCCTTCTAAACCCAACAGAGTTACTGACCAAGAGAAGTAACTAAGGTTAACAGCCACTTCCAGCATCACGTTTGACATTGTGGTATGGCTTGTTAAAACAATCAAAGGAACTTTTTTTTTTTTTTAACATCTCATCTACATGTTGTATGTTTACTTTCCTCATTTGGTGTTTAATTGTACTTTATATGTGATTCTTTTGCTCAGGGATTTAAGAGTGACGTTCCTCAACGACTGAAAGATTTCTGAATGTAGCAGTTTTGGTGCTGGCTTGCTGAGTCTTAATTTCTGTTAGTCTTGATAGAACAGTCTTTTGGGTAGTGATAATAGTGAAATAGTGATTTAGACCATACTTTCTTCTGTGGATGAAAGAAGACTATATCCTGTAGATCCTTCTTATCCTGTGGCTGGATCTGGTGTGCATATGAACTCACTGCTCTGTGCAAGGCATGGTTAGGAGCAAGATGAAATAGTTGCTAGTTGTGGTTGGTGGCAACTGTCTTCTGGTACTTTTCACATCCAGGAGAGTTATCAGCATGTCCTGATGGTAGGTGAGTAGCATGTGTGCAGTAATCTAATGGTTCCAGGAAGCAGTATATTTGCTGTCTTAGTGTGTTCAGAGCTACTCCCTAGGAATATGCAGAGCAGGCATGTGTGATACCTCCCAGGGATAATGAATACAGAGTGCAAGTAGCTGGTATGATACAGAATTGAAAGACTGAAGACCAGAGAGCTGTTGGTCCTCCCACAGGAGGATTTGAAATATCTACCATGTAAGGTATAATTCTGTGAATGGCAGTTTGAAGTTAGTGCTGTTTCTTGTACTGAGATAGTAAATGATGTGTTGGACCAGTGTGGTGTAGTGTTTCTATTGATTTTTCTTAGAGAACCTTAGGCAGCATGATTAATATAACTTAAAGATAGATTTTTATATTTAGGAGCCACCTACAAATAGTTGTCTGACTTGTTACACCAGTGTGCTACCATTCCAGTGGATAAATATTTGAGCTACCTGATTATGATGAATCTTTTATAAATAGATGATTCATTGCCCATAGAGAAAACAGTATCTCACTCATGCCTCAGATTTCTTAAATACTAGCTCTTATTTTTTTCTCTGCATAATCTCCAGTTAAATGAGCAGTGTGGTCACTGTGGTTTTATCAGCATAATCTCATTTGTTCAATTAAGACTGATATAGTTCCTCCATGCATCCGAAGTGATGTGTGTGAGGAAGACAGAATTTATACTCAAGGTTTTGTGCGACTCTTAGAATACTTGGTGAATGATTCAAGTTGAGGTGAGATTCTTTTGATCCGCTTCTATTATTCAACTTGTCAGACCATCAACTGATGCAGCAGAAGAGTTTTATCAGCAGTGTTGTCTGTAAAGAAAAGAAAGCAGCAGTGGAAATTCAGATTTGTGATACGATTTTTAGAGAAGCCTCAAATTTTCAAATACGGTGCTGAAATTAGGTTATGAAATGGTCTTAGCATTTATAACTTCATGAAATGGCATGAGGTGGTTTGTTTCTTTAAGAACTGAAGGGTTGCATTGACTTTATTTGAAATACACATCTGTGCATTATGTGTTCTAGTATGATTGGAGATTATAATTCTGTTAGCCCCCTCTGGGGGTAAAAGCATCTGTATTTGTCACAGTTTCATTGTCAGTTTCTTGCAGCAGTTGTGGCTTTTTCTGGGAAAAAGTTGTTGTTCTGTGTTCTTTGCACATGCAACAGTTACAAAAAGATGTCAGGACCACTCTGATTATGGATTGAGAAGATTATGTTTCTCAGGCGGATGTTGTCTCACAGGTTGTTTTCATTACTTTCTTATTTTGTTCATCTTTGTGCCGCCTCTTTGTTGGAACCCTCCTTGTGAAGGGCTGTTGCAGGAAGTGCTGTTGTTGCTTGGTGAGAGATGCAACAGAAGAGGTTCCAAGGAATACAGGCCTAGGGATCTTCACTGCAAAATACATATTTTATATATTATTTTATTATTATATATATATATATATAATATATATATATATATATTTGCAGGAGATGGTATCCTAGTCCTATCTGAAAGTACGGAGACTGAATAATTGCATATACTGCATGTCCAGGGCAGTAAAGCTACATATTCATTATTTCAGATTAGGGTTCATTCAAGACTAATTTCTACAATATGCCTGTATAATTAATTTCCGTGTTATTGTCTGCCCAAGCTTATGGGAAATGCTTAATAATCCAAGGAGAATCAGAGTACTGCTTTCATAAGATGTTTTTCAGTCTAACACACAGCTTATGTAAAATGCTTAACTGTTGTAGTGCCTAGAAGTGTCAGTGAACAGGACCAGGCTTTATTAGCAAGTTCTGGAATGTCTCCCCTTTTTTTTTTTCTGTGTCTGTCTGGGCATTGTAGCAATGAAATACGGAGCTTTTGTCTGCTGTCATTAGTAGTTCACAGCAACGAGGAAGTGCTCTGCTAGTGACAGCTTGTTCACATCAGAACAGGTTTGAGACTTGTGACTAAGGTCAGCAAAGCCAAACCCAGCTAGAGCAGTGCTCACTTCATTAGTCCTTTTGCCTTGCTGTAGTTAGGTATTTCTGCTTATCAGATTGCTTATCAGATTGGATAGCACCTGCTCTAAGGAACACACCTCAACACTGCACTGCCCTGGAAGTAGCACTTGGGCAAGTCTGTGCTCTCCTCTGGTAGGTATTGCAGCATAGATGTGATTGCTGCAGTCTGAGAGTACCCAAGTGCTCTGTTAGAAGATGATCCTGATAAGAGAGCTGTTGCTTTCCAGGTGGAATGCCCTGCTTACAATTCCTGTTCAAAAGGAACTGGGTCATTTGGCGGACACCGCTTGTCTTCATTAGAATCCCTGGGGGAATTCAGGGAACATCGTGATCAGTGGAACTGCAAGACAAGGCTAGTCCTTGACTTGCTGTTTTGCTTTGATAATGACAGCCCAAGCAGAAATACCTGCAATATATTTAGTTGAGCTAATCATGCTCTTGAATGCCCTAGGCTTTTCGTAGTGTCAGGAATCAGCATCTCCCTTGTGACTGTACACTGCTGTAGTTCAGAGTCTGGATGTCGCAAGCTCTGCTGAATTGTTTAGTAGTTCAGTCTCCCCTCATCCAGCATTATCAGTGGTTTTTAAGAGCCTGCTTACACTCCTGTGGTCACAAAATCTATGCCAATAGAAAGGACTGTCTTGTCACTGTCACCTGGCCCCATCCCAGTAAGCTTTTAGCTTGCTTTGTGCTGTACCCTACCTGGAGGACAAATGGCTGATAGGTTGAGAAAGGCTGAGCTTTGGGTTATATTTGGCTGATGGGGAGTTACTTTCATAACAGCTGATTGCATAAATAACTGTATTGTTATGTGATGTAACTTACTGGCAGTCAAGGCTCATCTTACCAGATCCCAA